AACGGAAAGAGCCTTCCAGATCACCGCGAAAGTGCTGACAAATGATAGTGAGGTAAGGAAGCCCCTAAAATGGATGGATGGCATTGCTTGCTAACAGCAGGGACCTCTGAGGCCGCTGGAATCCAAAACTCGTGCGTGACGGATCTCCAGTCCCAGGTGGAGTCTTTCCGGAGAACCACCAGCGAGGTCTGTCCTAACCTAGAGCGTCTTTGCTCGCTTGCTCGCTTACTTGACCACCACCCTTAAAGTCCGAGATTCCATTCTATTCTAAGGGCCTGCACGGAAGGAACAAGGGACTTAATATCCAGCGTTGGGACTATCCTGGGACATCGTCAAGCCACCCCGTCACCTTGGGGTCCCCCTCTGTCCTGCAGGCACCAGAGAACTTTAAAATCGGCTCACTCCTCGGCCTCCTGGTTCCTCACTCCTGTGACACCCTGCCCTCCATCTGCCAGGCGGCTGCTAGCTCGGCTATTAGTCTGTTCTGCATAAAAGGTGAGGGAAGGATGTGAAACTCACAGATGCAGAGAAGATACCTGTTTTCTTTTGTTCTCAGCTTTTCTCCTCATCCATCTATATCTCTCTCCTTCCTCCTCTCTCACTTTCTCTTTCTCCTCCCCCAGTTCAGCCATTTCTGAGTTCTGATACCTTAATTATGTCACACAATTTGTCTCTCTTTTAGATCCTTTTTCCTCAGTGGCTCTGCTTTCTGATTTTTTAAAATAAAGATAATAACACCAGAGCATGATAAAGGGTCATTAAAGCAGGTAAAAAAGAGTCATTAAAGCAGGTAAAATGTTTTGAGAGAGTCCGATTTAAATCACACAGCATTTGGGCATATTAGCAAAGCTTTCTCTATCACACGACTTTCTTCCAGAGGAAATTGCACTATTATTATGGTGCTAAAGTGCCTTTCAGAGTTTCCTAAGAGAGATAACTTTGTGGAGGTTTTTCCAGCTTGCATAGCAGGACCTCTGTCTGCTCTGCCAGGACATGTGAGTAACTGTCAATGCAGGAAATATAAGGAATTTTAAAACATCAGTCTCAGGCTGAAACCAACACTCAGGGCTTCCTGATTAAATCCAGGTTAAATAAGCAGGTGTTTGGCCGAGCTGGGCCCTGCATCATATGCACAGTTCTCCACAGACCAGGTGCAGCCAGGAACACTCAGCCAAGTTGACTGCAGCTCATGCCCACCCTCGGCTCTTCATTCTCTTAGGTACTCGGTAAACATTTCTTGAGTGACTTTTCATGTGTCAGGCACTGTTCTGATGCTAGAAGCACAGAGATATTATAATTCTAAGATTCTCATAAGAAAAGTATGTTAGGTTTGCTGTGCAAAAGCTTTTGAGCCAAAAGGTGGGATTTGGTTGGGGGCAGAGGGTAGAGTCAGTCAAAAAGGCCAAACTATTCAACAGAGCCCGAATAGGTCTCTTGGGCTATGGTACAGTCAAGGGACAGTCCCTTGGGATATGGGAAGATAATTCATGAAGGGTATATGCTTTTACCAAAGCCAGGGGGGAAAAAATGAATTAAGGAAGTGAGAACTAAAGGACCACTTTAGTAAGAGAAGAAATGTGCCAGAGAGGGAACTCATAGGAAGAAAGGAATTAGAATTCTATTATTGTTCTACCCATTCTCCCTTTAGTGTCCTTTATTTTCCTGAAACATGCAAAGTTCAGGTCCTTAAATATTCTTTGTTAACAAGAAATCCCATACTTCATTATTCACGTTAACCCTTTTTCTTGGTTGGCCAAATAAATATTGTAGAGAGAGAGAAAAACGATGATTATTTTTTTTACTAGATACAAGTAACTAGTGTGATACTAAATTAAATACTCATTTAATACTCATGGGTGTTGTTCAGTCAGTTGTTAAAGCAGATGAGGGATCTGAGGTTAAGAAATTTACCAGTTGCTTGGACAATTGAAAGCAGTGGAGCTGGACTTTGAGCCCAGGTCGTCTGCCCATTGGCTAGGCTGCCTTCCAGAGTGGTTCAGGTGTGGGTTTCCACAATTACTATACTCCATTCAAACAACAAACAGAATATCATTACCGTTTAGGTCTGCATTTACAAATTGGTATCAACAGTCACTTAACACAGTTGCTGATGTTCCTATTACAATGGTTGCCTTACCATTTCCTCCAAAGTGGCTCAGTGCAGAGCTCCAACAGAGACAGCAGTATAGCAGAGGAGTAAGAGCCTGGGCATTGGTGTCAGACCAGGGTTCAGGTTCCAGCTCTCCTATCTTTACTAACTGCGTGATCCAGCCAAATGGCTTTACACCTCTCTGCCTCAGCTTTCTCAACTGCAAATAACCTCAGATCATTTTTAGGAGCAATGAGATCATTACGTGCAGAGTATTTAGCATGCTGCTGGCATGCAGAAACTACTCAATCAGTGTTTGATCTTATGCTCACCATCTAATCAGACAGGCTTTAGTGGGTTTGTTAAAGGCATCCAGCAGCTGAATTAGTGTCACATCAAAATACAGACAGCTTCTTCAACCCCTATCAGCTCTTTGAACTCCTATGTCACCCTTTGTTGATTGTAGGCATTCGCCTGGAAATGGAAAGACTACAGGATTTGCAGGAAGGGCTGCAATGTGATGATGTGCAGGTCCAGATTAAGATTTCCTCCAAAATAGCAAAGGTAATAGATATGGAGGACTGGCCAAGGGATGTAAGGATGATTCCGGGTTGATTTCCAAATGAGTCAGCTGTGTACACCCTGCTACCCAGGAGGGCAACAGCCTAGCCATTCTAGCTGAATGAAAGACCTTTGTCCACTCATTTATTAACTCTGGGTCATGTGCACAGGCAACACCTGCTACTGATCATTTCATACTCTGGGAAACCTGGGGAACCAAGTGGCCCTCTCCAGGGTGAGGGAGACAGTGGGGTGAAATGGAAGGAACAGGACTTTGGGGTCGATCAGACGCACTCTGTGTGCACTGCTTGAAGTGTGTGCACTGGGTGATCAGTCTCATCTTAAAAAAAAAAAATGCATAACCTCCCTCTCAGAGCTGTTGTGAGGACTGGTCGATCAAGTCATTCATTTATTCATTCGCCTAATATGCCCTGTGCACCTACCACATGCCACACTTTTTTCTAGGCTCTAAGGATAGGAACGCCTGCCCTCATTGAGCTTGCATCCTAGTAGATGGAGCAGGCAAATAAATATGATGTCAGGTAGTGACAACTGAGAAAAATAAAATCAAGGAAAGAAATAAAGAGTATGGGAGGGGTGATCCCCTAGGAAGACCTCTCTGAAAGGGAGAACCATGAAGACATCTAGAAAAGAACATTCCAGGCAGATGGAAACAGGATGTGCAAAGGCCCTGAGGTGGAGAAAGAAGTGGGTCATGAGATCCAAGAGACAGCCCAGAGCTGATTGAAGTGCCTTCCAGGACTTGTTAAGGATCTTGGCTTTTATTCCAATTGGAATCAAAAGCCAGCAGAGGGCTTTAAACAGAAGAGTCAAGACCACTAGGTACACTGTGGCAGCTGTGAAATGTACAAGGGCACCCTTGTGTGAGGCAGCATCATTCCTAACGTGGACATTATAGGTTTATATGTGTATTATGGCAGTTATCCACAGAGGGCAGTAAAGGGTCCAACAAACTCAGTCACTGTGACAATAACAGAGAACTCTCTTGAGAACAGGGCACTTTTCCTAATTTGCAAAAGCTCCTTATGGGCTAGTGGTGGTTCTGCGAGAAGGAATGTGATTGGACTTATATTTTCTGAAGGGTCATCGGGCTGCCAGTTGAGACTAGACTATAGGCTGGCAAGAGTGAAACTAGTGAGGTTAGTTTGAAGGAAACTGTAAGAATCTACATATGGATTAGGTGGCCTGGACTAAGGAGGCAGCAGCGGGGATGAGAAGGTGATAAGGACATAGGATACAAGCCCGTGGGGGACAGGGAGGGAACATATGTCAAATGCCTAAGAAAGTGTCTGATGCATGAGAGGTGCTCAAAAACATGAATTCCCTTTCTTCCTAAACCAATATCCATCCCAATATGAAAACAAAAAAAAACAAAAAAAACCATAACTGTTGAGCTTGGACCCAGGCATGCATTTCGTGTTATACAGAACAGAGGCACGAGTCTAGGCCTTGATCTTGGAGCCATGGTAACTCAGAAACCGGCTGGGATATGCAATTACTCTTGAAAAGGAACTCATTTCCTCTCAAAGATGGGTCTACCAAACATCATCGGGCAATTTAATACTGGAGGAAGTCGGTTGTGAATAGAAATGTTTTCATACCCACAAACTCATAATCATGACCATCTTGCTTGGCTAAAGCCCCAGATAATGCTCCTGGACTTTATTCAAACTTCTAACTTTTCACCTCCCCTGCCTGCCTTTTCATTCATACACACGGAGAGACATATACAACCAAACATTGTGTATAGTTCTTGTTTAGAGACCAAAATTGCAAAGTTTTTCTTTTCTTCACTTTTTATTGACTACTCTTGACCTTGAAACATGCAAAAGCAAAAGACAGCATTCATGATAATTCACCCTCTGTGTGAAGTAAGTCAGAAAGAGAAAAACAAATACCATATGCTAACACATATATATGGAATCTAAAAAAAAAAATGGTTCTGAAGAACCTAGGGGCAGGACAGGAATAAAGATGCAGACATAGAGAATGGACTTAAGGACACGGGGAGGGGGAAGGGGAAGCTGGGATGAAGTAAGAGAGTGGCATGGACATATATACACTACCAAATGTAAAATAGCTAGTGGAAGCAGCTGCATAGCACAGGGAGATCAGCTCGGTGCTTTGTGACCACCTAGAGGGGTGGGATAGGGAGGGTGGGAGGGAGACGCAAGAGGAAGGAGGTAAGGGGATATATGTATATGTATAGCTGCTGATTCACTTTGTTATACAGCAGAAACAAAGCATTGTAAAGCAATTATACTCCAATAAAGATGTTAAAAATAATAATAATAATTCACCCTCTGTATGGATACTGTGAGGCACCGAGTACTTAGCACAGCACTTAGTACACAGCGATAGATTTCCTGAATTTTCAAGCCTAGCTATTCTTTGGCAGACACAAGACTTATTTCTGTGATACAAGAAATGTATGTGAAAGTACTTTACAACATATAAAATGGCATATAAACATTATGCATTATTTTTCCTTTATGGGGTATGATGTAACTTCAGGTTCGGAGAGGAAATTGCCTTGGCAGGCGTGAAATTTTAATAAATAATGAAATGATCAAGAGATAACTTCAAGGAAAGTTATCTCTTCAAGGAAAGTTTACTTAAAGTTGAAAGGTCATGTCTATGTCCTATTTTAGTATTCTCTCTGGTTTCTATGGCCCCAGTCACATACTTTGTGGAAAGCCCATCCTAAAACCAAGAATAGGTGTCCAGATATGAAGTGAGGTGGCTGATGACATGAGTCTTTCTGGTTCATTCTCAGATTGTCAGTAGACTCATCCCAAGTGAAGAAATGCTCATGTTCCTGGGGGAAACCCTGGATGGTCTGGAGAGCCTCAACCCCACATGCACAAAGGCATGTGGCATCTCGATGATCGCTGCCCTGAAGGAGCAGGGAGCTGCTTTAGAAGATCAGGTGAACCAAGAGCCAATCTGACAACTGAGCAGAATTCTAACACTTCTGAAATGCCAATACCAGAAGTAGGTCGCCACTTCTCAGTTGGTCCTCTGATGGGCCACAGGCGGGAATGCGCACGGCCTCAAGAGGCCTCAACAGAGACCCAAGTTGCGTGTGAACAGCCAGGCTCACACTGAGTGCCTGTCTAGCCTGACTCAATTGCTTCTCTAGTCTGTGATGATAAGAATTTTACAGACTGCCACTCTCTGGTCAGAGGCATGTGGATCATGGAAAACTGGGTTGTGAGGTCTGCAAGGATGAGTGTCACCTTGTAAACGAATGCCTTTAAGATGGCCACTGAGGGCCAAGAGAATTTTCTAATCCCACTGCCACTCTGCGAGCTGCTCTTGAACACCCCTTAGGTATTTTCTGGTAAAGAAGGCTGTCATTGGGGAATTGACTAAAAGAAAAGTCTCAGTCCCTCCTCCCAACTGGAAAGTTAAGCAGAGAGAACAGGGTTTAAATTCAGGAAGCCTGGTTAAGAGCTCCAAATGGAGATACTCTATTCTCTCTCTTAAAGTCAGAAACAGAACACCAGCAATTCAGAGATTGAGGAGGAAAAGAATCTTTAACTCAATAAAGGCTTTCCAAGGGGAACAGGAGGAGGAACTTATGGTCCCCATAGCCCAGAATCATCCACCCTAAATTTAAAATTTTTCCAAAGCATGACTTTTAGAAATGACCTCTGTGCTAATTACTATCCAATCAGCTTTTTTCAAAATCATTCATTGAGTACATACTATATGCCAGTCATGAGACAATCAAAGGTTAATAAATTTGGAATGTCCATGTATTTGTGTGTTTAGCATAAAAGGGGAAGTTGTTCACATGCTAAGTAAAGGCTTACAATAGGGACCTAAATCCTCTCCAAGAATCATTGAAATGGGACTGTGTGGTATTCATGTTTGCAGGATATTTATGATTAAGGAATTATAATTCTGAGAAAGTATTATATTTACCTAAAAGTGTCTATCCAAAGTAAGCGGGAAAAATTTCCACTAGAAGCAAACGTTCTTTAGCATGGAGACATGCCCTTACCCATGTCAAAAGCCAGATGTGTAATATCATTCCCTACTGCACACAGATTAACACCCAAACTCAGAAAGGTGGCCCTCAATGCCCTTTAGCATCTGGCTTCATCTTTCCTATCAAGTTATCTTCCTTTTATCACCTTCATTCTTTCTTTGCTCCAAACTGGACCATTCTCCTATTCCATAAACCTTTTCCACATTTGCCTCTACCATGCTCTCATGCCATTTTTCTATATAAATTTTATGTTTTTACAGCCATCATGTTCACAGAAAAATGGAGCTGAAGGTACAGAGTTCCCATATACCTCCTGTCTCCACACTACCCACATCCCACATCACAGTGGTACATTTGCTACAATCGATGAATGCACATTGACACATCATATAATCACCCAAAAGCCTTAGTTTACGTTAGGGTTTAGTCTTGGTGTTGACAAATGTATAATGACATGTGTTCACCACTGTAGTACCATAAAGATTAGTTTCACTGCTCTCTGAACCCCCTGTGCTCTATTCTCATGGTGTCTGCTTTTACATCTTTACCTGTGCTCTTCCTTCTGATGAGGATGACCTTCCCCACCATCTCCACCTTGCCTTTTGGAATTGCTATATATCCTTTGAGACCCAGACCAGATGTCCCTCCACAGTAACCTCAGTTACTTCTGGATTCCCCTATCAGTCCTGTACCTCTTGTACACCATTTGCCATACAGAGCCTTGTGCACAGCCCTTGGGTATATGGCTGATGTCCTTTATGAGACCACCCATTCCTTTTGAGAAAGGGCTACATCTTATTCATCCCTGGTAAATGCCCCACAGTGCCCAACACAGCACCTGGCATAATGCAGCCTTTCGCTAAATGTTTGCTAAATTGATTTAAGAATAAATGCCAAATTTATCAATAATCGTCCTGAGCAAGAGATAGGTCATGTGTAGAATCAATTGTTTTAACATTATTTCTAATTCATCAACCACCGCCTACATTATGCTGACTGTACATGACCTAAGCCATCCATGTAGAGGAAAAATGGCAACTCAGTGTTTGATTTGGCTTTTTCTTTTTAGCTGTTGGAGATCTTGGGCATAACTTACCATCACATGCCAGTCCTCAGACAAAAGGAGGAAAGTTTTCAGTTTATGCTGGAAGCCATCTCCCAAATAGCCAGCTTTCACATGGATGCAGTTGTTGCCAACCTTCTACAGAACCCTCTGCCCTTTGACAGGTAGATTCTAACTGAGTTGGTCCCTTTTCCTAGGGAAGGCCACTCTGTAAGGTATTGGGGAAGAATCTGTGGTTTGAGAGAAAGATAGCAAACAGAAGTTGAAAACACCTCACCTGAATAATTTCAAAAATGGTGTTTGAATCACAGGTAATGGTTTTCCAAGTATTTTTCAAATATATGTCCTCATTGGATGATGAGAGTTTTAGGAGTGTGAGTGTGTGTGTGTGTGTGTGTGTGTGTTTATTTAATAGGAATAAGTACTAGAAAGTGAATATTTCTTCCCTTTCTGGTTGACTAAAATGAATCTATATGAGAGGTTTCTGTCTTGATGGACATTAACAAACCTCAGCAACCCAAGGCCAGAATGCTAGATTGTTAAATAAAACATCCTTATTATCCCCAGGCATGTTGGCATGTCCATCTGTCCTTGCAACTGTGCTTAGTCATAATGTGGTTTTAGAGTGGGTCAGGTGAAAAAGCTCACATCCCAAGGAGTAGAGCCTTATCGGCTTCCTGCCATGCTTCCCTAGGGACACAAAGACACTGTGGAAGGCTCTGGCTGAGAACCCAGACTCCAGTGGCAAACTCTTGCGAGCCTTAATAGACAAACTGGAGAAGGAGTTAGAAGATGACCTCGCAGGGACAGAGGCGATCTCCGTGAGTTGGACAACCTGCCACCCGCCCGGGATGCTGCCCCATTCCATCCCACCTGGCACGGGGTGATATAGCATTAATCGCACTTCTTCCCCTCTCATACCCCGGTTTTAAATCAATTCCAGTTTATATTGGACGAATATGGCAGTGATTTTGTCTGCAGCTGATCATGTTCAGAAGGAAATTTCTCAACAGCCCAAAGAAAATCTGTGTCTCTGTATTTCCAAATTAGTCTTCAAGATATCCACTTGTTATTGAAAGACCCCAATACTGGTGCCCCCTGGAGTTTGGAGTCGCCCCACATGGCAGCCCTGAGAGAGAAACACAGCAGGAGTTAAGGAGTTTCCAGACAAATAAACCCTCCCTTTTCTATGTGCTTTTACCACAAGTGTGGTCAACCTGGAAAGCAATCCTTTGTAGAGAAAACTAACTGGAAGATCAGCCCTGCCTGACCACAGGGTCCTTTCTCCCCTCAGGTGGCCTGTGCAATTTATGAAGTGGTGTCGACAGGCAACCCTGTAGCAGGCCTGTACCCAAAGCTGTTCGCCCTTTTCCTGAAGCTGGTCAGCTGCACACTGGACCAGAAGATGCCCACGTCAACCCTAAACCGCCGCCGCGGGTGACGCAGCAAGGGGAGCAGCAGCAGATCGCAGACCCCTGCAGGTAAACAGCCAGGCGGAGAGGGACTTCCAGAGCAGTCCTGACCCGACTCCAGAAGGGGTTGGCACAGCCTCAACTACCCGTGAAGAAACAAGGCCCCTCCATCCTTGAGCCTCGTAGCTCTTCTTCCCTGGGTACCTGGCATCGTTGCCCAGAACGGTCATACAATGAATAAGCAGTTATGTCCTCTTCCCTAGAGGGCCCAATCCACTTCCTTTGTTTTCATTCATTGAGACCTTTCAAGGAAAGCTGGAATTCTGTGATTTTCAAGGCCACCAAGGAAAGAATATAAAATAAAAATAAATACCACATTTCCTCAAATCTAAGACTTCTCCAGGTGAAGGGAGCAACATTATTGCGTGTAACATTGAGAAAGGAAAAAAAAAAAAGAGTCCCAATTAAGTCATGAATCAGTGCTTTCTTATACTATTAAATTTGCATTTTATATTGATCCAAAAAGCTCTTTGAGGATTATTAGGTATAGTTATCCTTTATCACACTGCTCTGCTTTCCTGTTTTTTTGCATTAACTTTTTGTTCCGATGTCAAATCAACCTTTTTTTTTTTTTTTTTTTTGCGGTACGCGGGCCTCTCACTGTTGTGGCCTCTCCCATAGCGGAGCATAGGCTCCGGACGCGCAGGCTCAGCAGCCATGGCTCACGGGCCCAGCCGCTCCACGGCATGTGGGATCTTCCCGGACCGGGGCACGAACCCGTGTCCCCTGCATCAGCAGGCAGACTCTCAACCACTGAGCCACCATGAAAGCCCCCAAATCAACCTTTTTAAAGACATTTTAAATAGCAGTTAGGCTCAGCACATGTAGTTCCAATAGTACATGTAACTTTATTAAAATGCCCACAGCGCAAAGAGCCATACCTAAATCCACGCATGTACACACATTGTATACACAGGCAATAGCAACTGCATCACAACTACTGTCTGGCCAACAATTGCAACGCACTATCCATTGCGAGATGCATTCTGATTTCCAAGGTGCTATTTTGTTTTAGAACCAGTGAAACAACCTCCATTCATCCAGGAGTGAGTGAGCATTGTAGGGAACATTTTTTTAAAAAAGAAACAAAATGTGCTATATTATTCTGTAGAATACAGTGTTTACAAGTAACCAGATCCACACATATCAATATACAGCCCCAAGATATAGTAAGTGAAAATACAGAATACAGACAGCTTGATGATATTTATTAAGGACTTGGGGATTCACAATTCCTTGCATGGTACTGACTTACTTTTGTGGTGCCAACTGTCTCCTTCAGGCTCTCGACTACAACTCTGAAGTGTGTGCAGGCCCAGGCCACAAAAGAAGGGCTGGCCAAAGAATCTGACGAAGGGGACAACATGTGGACCCTCCTCAGCAGTCCCAGTAGGCACCACATAGGAATCTGTGCACTGGCCAGGTAATGTGCAGATATTCTAGAACTGGATACGAAGGAAAAAACTGAAGACAAAGTAAAAATGCAATGCAGGCAACTTCACTGACAGCAATTGATTCAGTAAGAACTTAGAGTCCAGGAGAAAAAAACAGGGAAGAAAGAGCAAAGGGGTTGGGAAGAGACAGTAGGATCAGCCCCAAACTCACCAACCCTGCAGAAAATAGTGATACAATGAACACTTTTAGGCAAACTACACTTCAGTCGGGCACTTGGATAGGCTAATATAAAGTTAAGCCTTGGTGCTCTTTCCTTTTTAACATTCCATTTTGGATAATTTAGTTTCCTGATAGAGAAATAGACTAAAGTGTCTTCCACTGTTTAGAAAGAAAAAAGTCTCTGCTACAGTGGGAGGCTTGGTTTTCTAGGAGCATGGCAGCATGGCAACAGAGACTCATTCCGGACATCACGGAACAACTCTTCCCGTCCCTGACCTCCTCCTCGGAGAACTACCGGATAACGGGCGCAGCTTTCTTCTCTGAGGCAAGGGAGCACAGCCATCCCAGCAGGCTCGTTGGGACCCAGTCGGGTATTTCTCTCAGGAGTTCAGTGGGAATTTAAACCACGGAAGAGGGACCCTCTCTGGGATCTTTGGCAATGGAGAGATCCAGCTATTGCCAGAGACACAGTACTTGAGCAGAGAGAGGGAGAAAGAGAGAGGAAAAAGAACCCAGCCTCATCCTCTTCCTGCCCTGTGGTCTGCAGACATCAACTCCCAAGACAGAGAAGGGTAAGAATCAACCTGGAAGGGACAAAACAAAAGGCAACCAACAAATATACTGTGGTCCTTTCAAACTCTGGGATAAAGGCTGACCCAGCCAATGCAAAGAAAGAAATTGTCAGTAACTCCTGTTTTCCCCACTCCATGTTTCCATTTAGATTAGAAATACCTTCTTAACTAGGTATTTTGGTTCTCATCACCACATAACCTTGACCTCTGGGGTGCTCACTTCTAGAGCTTAGTTCCTGCCAGACATTTGAATTCACCCGAGGGCTCCCTCCTCTGCCCCACAATCAGCTGGGGCCCTACTCTTTAATCATAGCTATAATGCCTTTGGAACTCTCCTGAAGGGAGGCCCTTCCCTGAACTAAAAGGGAGAAGTGTGTCACTTTCAGCTCATGAAGGAGCCAATCCTTTGGAAGCACGGGAATCTACGGGATGTGCTGATCTTGATGGATCAGAGTGCCTGGGACTCCAACGCCATTCTGAGGCCAATGGCCATCTGAGGGCTCGGTAATACCACTTCTGGAGCCCCTCACAAGGTAAAAGGAGTTTGCGGGGGGGGACACAAAATAGTTCATCTAAGTAGAATTTTAAAATAATTATTTACTAACCCACACCCTGTGGTTGCATAGAAATTAAGTGAAAATCCAAATAAGTCGCTGAAGTGGTGGCTCTTGGGTTGAAGGACATGTGACCCCAAGAGAATGTCAATCCCCTTATCTGGGGTCTCCTACCCTATTCCAGATACACATAGAACAATTTTCGAGATTAAGAGACCTTAATTTCAAAATAGTAAAGAAGCACAAGCAGATAATGTTAGAATCTATCGTCAGAGGCCTCTATCACCTGGCCCGCACCAAGGTCATCTGTGAAAGCTTGAAGGCTCTAAAAAAGATCCTGGAGCTGCTCACAGACCGAGATGTAAGCTTCTACTTCAAAGAAATAGTGCTGCAAACAAGAACCTTCTTTGAAGACGTAAGTGAGCCTGTTCAGGAAACTTCCTGCCCCAGAAGTGAGCTCATGTAGTGCTTTTAGCAGAAAGAGGTTCAGGTAGTGCTTGTAGCAGACCAATTTGGTGTCCATTTGCATGCCTTGGCCTGCCCCAGAGGTCACCTGTCCCAGGGATCACCTGTCCCACAGATCACCTGCCCCAGAAGTCACCTGCCCCAGAGATCACCTGCCCCAGAGGTCACCTGCCCCAGAGATCACCTGCCCCAGAGGTCACCTGCCCTAGAGATCACCTGCCCCGGAGATTACCTGCCCCAGAAGTCACCTGTTCAATTCCTGTGCAGCCTGTTGGCTTCCTGTGTGTCTGCCTGAGGGTATTCTCTGGCCCAGGAATCATGATTGGTTTGAGCAAGGTGGGCCGGATGTGTTGGGAAAGGACCCTCAAACAGCAAGAAAAGAGAGTTTGTAGATAAACTCCCTGGCTTCCTCACCCCTCAGAAGGACGGTGCTCCACTTGCCCATAGGGGTACCACACTCACTAATGTTCCCTTTCGTAGCTCTCCTCTCTTGCCTATCATGCTTCCTGGGCTCACCTCCCAGATAAGTGACTTACACCTAAATCCCCATCTCAAAGTCTGCTGTTGGGATGAACCGGTTTGCAGGGTACAAATAGAGACACAGATGTAGAGAACAAACGTATGGACACCAAGGTGGGAAACAGGGGGTCGGGGGGATGAACTGGGAGATTGGGATGGACATATATACATTAATATGTATAAAATAGAGAACTAATAAGCTGCTGTATAAAAAATAAATAAAGTTCAAAAATTCAAAAAAAGGAAAAAGAAAGTCTGCTGTTGGGGGTACACAGCTATGACAGTACTCCCTACAGGGCTAGATGTTATTGCCTCCAACACTACCTTTTCCACGTGCAAGATTTCAAAGACTCAAAATGCTCACGCAGTTCATTTCATCCAGGAGTCAGTATACTGCCCCACGGCTCATCGGCCAAATTCAACCTGGAGCATCTTTTTTTGTAAATGAAGTGTTATTGGAACACAGCCATGCTCATTGGTTACATATTATCTATGGCAGCTTTCACACTTCATCCCGCAGAGCTAATTAGTTGTTACAGAAACCGTGTGGCCCACAAAGTCTAAATTATTCACTGTTTGGCCTTTTATGGAAAAAATTTGTCAACCCCTGACATGGTTTATAGCCCTCATTTCAAAAAAGATCAGTCGGGCTTCCCTGGTGGCACAGTGGTTGAGAGTCTGCCTGCCGATGCAGGGGACACGGGTTCGTGCCCCAGTCTGGGGAAGATCCCACATGCCGCAGAGCGGCTGGGCCTGTGAGCCATGACCGCTGAGCCTGCGCGTCCGGAGCCTGTGCTCTGCAACGGGAGAGGCCACAACAGTGAGAGGGCCACGTACCGCAAAAAAAGATCAGTCAACAACAATCCTAGGCAAAGGAAGGTCATTTTTCTTTATACCTTCTGGGAAACCAGATTTTATTATTTCGTTTTGGTTTATTCACTGACATCAATGTAAAAAATCTATTTCATATCTAACTTAAACCTATTTTTTGTGATCTAAACCTGCCTGCTCCCGTTATGTGGTCAGAGGAGATGGAAATTTCTGGCTGCCTCCTCCAATGCATCCTTCTTAAACATTAAGCCTTTATTAAATTACCTATTCACCTGATAGTCTCCAGACTGAAAAGTCCTTATTTCCTTCATTATTTACCATAAACCTAATTTTTCAGCTCCTTAAATATTTTACAAGCCAGTGACTGTGTTGTATCCCTAAATGAGAACTGAGAAGTACTGAATAGAATCTAAAGAAAAACTGCCTCTCAAATCCAATCTTTTCCTATTTATTCACTCCAAATTTTTTTAATCTTGCCCTTTCTTCCTGACTCTTTAGCAATTTATTAACTACACCAACCTCCAGACTGCAGTCTGCAACACTCGCCCTCAGTCAATCGTCCTCCAGCACTGTATTTTTTAGTTTCTCTTGTTTGTGTACTAGCCTAAACCTGGCCTTTGAGGGCAGCTTTCTGCTGGTTTCCAACTATTTTCTCCAGTGTACCAATATTTACTTTTAATTCTCATCTTGTCCCCAAAAATACTTACTGGGCTCTCACTCAATTTAGTATCTTCTGTAAAATAATGAAGATGTTCTTTTTTTCATTACACAAATAACTGATGACAATCTTTAACAACAAAGGGTTAAAGTCAGCCCTACAGAGCCCCACCTGTTAGGTTTCCCTGGACTATTGCTGATCCAATGATAGTAACTCTCTTGGATCTGAGCCTCCAATAATCACAAGTCAATCTACAAGTTTTGTGGTCAAGAGAATATTTCTCAGTCTTAATGCATAAGAAAAAAAAAAAAAAACGAAAGTCTATCTGGTTGTTAGGTTAGACCTTTCGCATTCCTAATAGGTATCAATTTCATCACATTTGCATAAACGTAAAGTTTGACAAAAATTGAGTCTTAGTCATGACATGCTATTTACAGTCCTATAATGCTCTCTTTCTGCAAATATATTCAACTATGATACTTTGCCCCTATATTTTTCTGTAGATTAAGCATACAATTCTGTAATCTCTAAGTTTTCCCTTTCTTCTCTTCAATATTTAAGTACTTTCTTGAAAATCTAAAAATACGGCTACACTTTGAAAAAGTGGTAGAACAGAAAATATTGGCTGCTGTCCCATGCTCTAGGACCTGCTCACTGCTATTTCCCACGCTGGCACCTGAGTAAAACTTTAATATCTCTCCCAGCACCCAAAACACTTTACCCCTTCTCTTTTCTGTTTTTTCATCATCCCAATTGGTTGATTCTCCCTTGACCTAGCATTAGGTCTTTGATTTTAGAAAATTCAGAGGACTCTTTTTAAGTAAATACCTCTCTACCTTTTAGATACTTTGTTACTGGTTTGCTTTCTTTTTCTAAAAAGAGATCTTTAAAATATATACCTTGACCTTACTCCTAGTACATTTAAAGAACAGTTCTACTTACATTTCCCTTCTATGAGGTCACATCTCATGTTATTCAATTAACTTTTCTAGCCTTTTCCTAACAAGCCATCTTTATTCTTTTATGGAAGATCTTTGTTAACTTCCTTTTTCATGGCATTTTTGTGTATGTGCCCACTTCTCACACATTTTATTTTGCCATCGAAATGAACTCCTCTATCTTCTCCCCCTCATATTCATAGGAGTGCTTTTTTATTGGCCCTTGTTTGTTGCTAATCTGAATAATATTCTGGGGAATTCCCTGGTGGTCCAGTGGTTAGGGCTCTGCGCTTCCATTGCAGTGGGCATGGGTTCGATCCCTGGTCAGAGAACTAAGATCCTGCATGCCGCGAGGCGCAGCCAAAAAATTTTTTTAAATTTTTTAAATAAATAAATAATATTCTGATACTCAGAATGGCTTTTCCTCTCATCCCTCTGCCTGTCTACGGGTATTTGAAACTAGTTTTCTAGATACCTCCCCCAAAAAAAGAATACTTCCAGAAAATCCACCAGAACTCTGAACCATATCAACAAAGTGTCTGAGATAATAGAAGGCCATCTTTCTCCACCACCTTACCCTTTGGCTCTAAAAAGCATTGCCATACTCTGGTTCCTCTTCAGATCGCATACATCCTTCATCTTTTACTAAAAAGCACTGCCCAGCCTCCTGGACAACAAGCAAGGCAGTTCCATAACTTCACATACAAGAGTAGGGCTAAGCACTTGTTTGTTTATCTGCTCTCTCTCTCTGAGACACAAGGCCCACATTTCTGAGCTTCCTGTAATCCCTTTGGAAAGTATTTGGGATCTTGGAGAAGAGTCCTAGGCCTTGGGCAATTTAGATCAGAGGCCCCATAACTCCAGGCTAATGAAGCAATCAGGCTAATTTGTACAAAGTATAGAACAAACAAGCACCCTCCCCGGCCTTGTGCTGCCAGCACTCCCTGTTTATTACTCCTGTGGTCACATTTCCCCACTAGCTCGTCAGAGTCAGAAACCAAGTCTCCAGCTCTAAATTCATGTCGTGTGGGTAGAGAGCTGCTGGGAAACGAAAGGCATTCTTGGGACACCCAGGGGCTATGCCAAATGTGTGCCAGGTCTCCAGCCTGCCTTTACGGAAGTGGGAAAGGGCGGGTAGGGTAAGGGTACCAGCTGGGAATGGCCTGTGTGGAGGACCCACAACATGTATCTGTCAGCACAGGAGCAGGATGGTGTGAGGCTGACTGCCATCCTCTTATTTGAGAATCTGGCATCCCTAACAGGAAGAAGGTGGAAGATTTTTTTTGCTGAAGAAATAAAAAAGAGCATGATTTCGTTCCTTCTCCACCTCTGGGATCTCAATCCCAGGATTAGAACTGTAAGCGGCCCTTGTACAGACACCTGCACCTCCTCCTCTCCCCATGGCCGAGAGGGTGCCGGGAAGCCTGGTCTAGCTGGACCGGAAGCCAGGTCTGAAGGCACCACTCGCAAATGAACCTGAAAACCAATTTTCCCATCCGGGGTGCTTTTTTGCCATCACTTCCCAAGTTTGCGCTTCCATCTTTGAAACTGGGAAGGTGGCAGCACTGACTGTAAAGCCCTCACATCACTGACTTTTACTGCTCCTTTCCCAACACACAACCAGTCAGTGTGTCTTCCCATCTGGAAGGGGAGCCAACATTATGGACTGTGTTGCAGGAAACTTTTTCAGGCTTGCCGTGATGTCCTGATCATCTGCATTCCTTTTCTGGGCCTCCAGGAACTCTATGGGGTATTAGATCATCTCATTGATGGTCAGGATCTACCAAGGGCCAGGGATTTCTACAGGCAATTCTGTGTGAAGCTGGTGAGTGTGCAGTAGGTGCTGCTTCCAAAAAAAATGCAGGCCAAGAGTCCAGGCAAATCCCAGAAGGCAAAGAGCATAGCAAGGAATCCCAGCCAGAGCCAGAACCATCTGGGAAGGACAGCAGTGATTCTGGGTATCCTGTCACACCACCTTCTGCTCTGTCCCCAAGTCCCAACTGGGATCTGTTCTCGATTCCTGAAACTCATCTGTTGATTAGCCCTATAAGCCCCAGTGCCACTCTGATTAAATTTAGAATGAACTAGCCATAACACACCTTCCAACAGAACAATTAATGGCTGTATGCGTGCTCACTCCTTTAGATGTGAGCACACATCTAAAGGGCCTATAGGATGCTGAATTTCGTAAAGTGTCGCTTCTCAGTTGCCCTCTTTTTTTTTTTAATTTTACTGAAGTATACAACTATACTTTACATTATTGTGTTAATTTCTACTGTACAGCAGAGTGACTCAATTTTACATATATATATTCTCTTCATATTCTTTTCTATTATGGTTTATCACAGAATATTGAATATAGTTCCCTGTGCTATACAGTAGGACCTTGTTGTTTATCCATCCTACATATAATAGTTTGCATCAGCTACCCCGAACTTCCAGTCCTTCCCTCCCCTACCCCCTACCCCTTTCAGTTGCCCTCTTTGTAACAAACATCTCTTCCAGGCAAAGAAAAAACAAGAAATCCTGTGGATCCTCCACACACACTCATTCACCTTCAGCAGCAGCTGGGAGCTGATTAGGAGCACAGCCACCAAATTCAGAGGTGAGGGCACGTCCACGCTCTCCACTCACAGGTCTGCTCTTTGCCATCCAGTTTTGCTTTGCCTGGAAGCTACCCCAGCGTGAATGCCGATATGACTGGGAAGACCAAAAAAAAAAAAGAAAAGAAAAACAGGAAAGCCAGAAAGAATTCATTTTACATCTTACAACATCTTCCCTCAAAAGAACCTGTTCTCTTTGCAGACTTACAGTAACAGCTTCTGAATTGCCAACACTCACTTTCTTTCCATCAGACCATTCTCCCTACTGGGTCCTTCATGCTTCTTCTGGTTGCAAGTCATTGCTGCTTCTTTTCCCCAAGTCTTTGATCCAAGCCTGCTGCCCCTGCCTAAGTGTTTTCCTTTGCATCATCCCTTAATATAAACCATAGTCAACCTTCTAAGCTCAGTTCAAGCTGAGAGCTTTAGCAGCAATGTGATACTAGTGGAAAGTGTGTGGGCGTGGGGACCAGCAGCCCTTGGCTCTGCTGTGTGATTCTGGACAAGTCACTTAATTTCTCTGTGCTGCCTCTTTGTCTGATCTATAAAATAAAAGAGGAAAGTAAGTGAATCTCTGAGGATCCTTCTATTAGGAAATTCTAAGTCTTATCATGAAACTCGTTCCAACTAATCCAGCCCCCAGCAAATAGGCCCACTTGGTTGGCCACATTTAAGATTGAGTTAAAACCTAAGGACTCTTACTGGATCATGTAGAGGATCCCCCTAACTACACTGTAACTTTTTGGAAGACAGGGACCATAGCTTATTCACGTTTGAAACCCTGGCGCCCCCTGGAGGACACGGTGTGAGTTTTCCCAAATACATGGTGGGTGAGTGACCACTTCCAGACGTGGCACTCAAGACCCCATAGACATCACCCTCACATCATCCTGGGGGTGCAAAGGGAGTCTATAGCTTGTGCATTCACTAGCTAGATCACTTAACTTCTTACCAGGTGCAGTGTGCCCCGACCTGCTTTCTGCGGCCTGTTCCTCTACAGTGAAATCAGTAACTTTCTCTCCTGTTGATTTTAGATGCCACTGTTCTCAATCTGACCTACCAATATGTGGAGTTAATAGACAGAGAACAGCTGACCACACGTGAGTACCAGCCCTAGCTTCTGCCCAGAGCACTGTTACATTCTTAGAGAAAGAGAAGCTAATGCTGCTCCAAGTCCCATGTCAGCCGTAAAATCGTAGTGTAAAATCGTAGTGCACCCCATTATCGATCGTCTCTGATGCTCCCTAGATACTGGAATTTCTCCAGAGTGTAAGGTGACCCCCAGCTCCATCCCACTGCAGCCATCATTCCCAACAGACTTTGATTTTCCAATTGTTTACAAACCTACTGCTCACAAGGTCAGGATCTTCTCTTCCCTTATTTCAGTGTTAAAATAGATGCTCAATTTGTGGATCCAAATCCTACCTCTTAGGGTAAAACGTGAGCATGGGGGCCTGAGCCCCACCCAGCACTGACCCTAAGTGGGAGCCTTCCTGTGCTGCACAGCTTGGGCCTTGGCTTTCTTCATTCACTGGACATTGCTATTCTTTCCATTTCAGGACTCCAAGCACTTCGAAAAGACCCCTGCATGAGTGTCCAGAGAGCAGCCGAAGCTGCCTTGCAGACCCTCTTGAGAAGGTGCAAAGAGATGAGCATCCATCCGTAAACCATCAGGAAATAAACAGCTAGGCCTTTTCTATAACTGACTCCTGTTTTCATCCTCATAACTCACAAACTTGCAACATCTTGAGGAAAGAGACGGCACCTAGTGTGGGGATGCTGAAGTGGTGGTATCTTCCTTACCCTCCAGGCTCTTCCTGGTGGCTTCTGTTAGCAAAAACCACACCCACCAATTCACTTGAGGAATAACTTGTGATTTGAGCGGTGACAGCCCCATGGCTTTGCATAGGACAGCCCTCTATCTTGGGAAGCTTACATCCCAGCAGATGTCAAAAAATGACAGAACATGAAACAATTCTGCCGCCATTAAGAAGAGAACCACTGCTATTACCCACACGGAGCCCTTTTGTCTCATATCTTTGCCAGCTTTGGCTTACTACTCACTCTTTTCTCTCTAAAGAACAGTCTTACGACAAACTTTAACCTGTCTGTTCTTAAGTTGTAATTTACGTGTCAAAACTGTGCCAGGTACTTTTCTACAAAAGCCGCTTTCTGACATTCTATTAAATCTCATAGTTTCCTTTCCATTTTTATCCTAGAACATTGATCCCTTTGAACTGTGTGTATTCGGGTGCGCATGTGTTAACCTTCGTAGCATCTGAATCATAACTCTTCACTCTTTTTTCACAATGCACACCTGAAAGGTTACATACAGGAAATCATGTACAGACAAAGGAGTTTCTAACACAGAGCCTGGGACTCATTTAACACCACCGCTATCAGGATCATTCATGAGCAACATTATTTTTTTGCTATTATTTTTATCTTATTGACATTTAAATTTCAAACACTGAACTCAAGTATATGCTGGCCCTTTGTTCAGATTTTTGAAATAAAGATAAATAGACAGACAGCTTTAAGGGTGCAATGTATTTAACATTGCATGTTAAATAATTAGAGAAAATCTAAGGGGTGGCATAACTATATACCTTTATACATTTAGTAGCACAAGTATAGGGACAAGCCATGCAATTGGAGGAAAAGACCTGTTCAGGACCAGAGAGGTCCTTGGCTGCTGACAGAATCTCCCCTTAACTTCAGACTTGAGAAAAAACAGGAATCTGTCAGTATACAAAAACCACTGAATTCAGGGCAAACAGTAACAGGATATTAAGGAATTGGCTCTGGCCAGTTGGGATTGTGGAGGCCAGTCTGAAGTAAGCAGGGTTAGCTGGAGGCTGGAAATGTTGCAGCTCAAGTCCAGGATCTGTAGATTAGAACAGCAGTCTAGAGACAGAATGGTTAGTGCATTCTTCAAAGAGCCCCAGTTTTCCAAACAAGTTCTAGGATGCTTTACTCAAACAGTGGCAACTTATTAAACTGATGTTCCTCTTTATAAATCCCTATTACCTATATTCTAACCCCTTCATCCCCAAGCTCTTTGGAAAAGCATCTTTTGTTTCTACAAAACATTTTAAGAACCAAAGGAGTCTTTTAGGTTAGAGATTTTAGGCCAGAGTCCCATTTATTCATTCACTTAACAAATATTTGGTGACTGCCTATAATTTACAAGGCACTGTTATAGCCACTGGGGCTACAATCGTTGAGGAAAAAAATAGAAAAATTCTACCCTCATGGAGCTTACACTCTATGACATCTGTGTAGAAATTCCAGAGGATGGAGCCAGCCTCCAAGATGGCTCCATGATTCCTTCCTCCTGATGGTTACGTACCCCCCTCCCACAGTGAACAGAAATGCCCTGTGCAATCAATACAACAGTTCAGAAATAACAGTGTAACTTCCAAGCCAAGGTCATAAATCGTATTGCACTCTCTTGAATCACTCACTCTGGGGGAAGCCAGCTGCCAACACAAGGACACTCAAGCGGCCCAAAAAGAGGTCCATGTGGCCAAGAATTGATGCCTCCTGCAAACAATCAGAGCTAACTTACTAGGCTCGTTAATGAGCCATCTTGGAAATGGATCCATGAGCCCCGGGTAAAGCCTTCAGATGACTGAAGCCTCAGTTGACATACTGACTGGACTATGGGATAAAAGACAGACTGCCCAATTAAATTTGAATTTCAGGTGAATGATGAGTAATTTTTTGAGTAAAAGTATGCCCTGATTATTGCATGGGGCACACTTCTACTAAAGAATTATTTATCATTTTTCTAAAATTCAATTTTAACTGAGCATCTTATATTTTTATTTGCTAAATCATGCAACCCCAGTGCAGTCTAACGGGAGTCCTGGGCCGGAATCACTAAGCTAAACCACTCCTGAATTCCTGAACCACAAAACTGTATGAGATAATAAATCCATGTTGTCTTAAGGCACTAAGCTTTAAGGAAATTTGCTATGCACCAGTGGATTACACAGAAAGTCTGTGATTCCACTCAAAGTTTTGTATGCAAATTTCTGTGCATAATTGCATAGGTGTATTTTCTGGGTAATGGCTTTGATTAAATTCTTAATGGAGTCAGAAGCTATTCCCAAGCATAACATACATGAAACAGAGCAAGAAAAAGAAGGCAAGAGACGCAGGTTTAGTTGACCTCTTTGGCGGGTTAAGTCAAATGACATTTCCAATAGAACTTTCTGCAATGACGGAAATGTTCTATATCTGCACTGGCCAATATGGTAGCCACTAGCCACGTGTGGCAACTGAACACTTGAAATGTGGCTAGTCCATCGGAGGAATTAAGCTTTTAATTTTAAGTTTAAGTAGCCATATGTGGCTAGTAGCTACAGTATCGCACAAGACGATATCACAACATAGAGCAAAGAGTCGTAACAGAATTTGGGCCGAGCCACCCAGAACTATAGGACGTTCTCAAAAAGTATAAATTCACTGACGCAAGACCTTGTCTGATACTTGTTTATATATCCATCCCCACTATTACTCTCCACCCATCCTAGCAACCAGCAGAGCCTTCCTTATCATTGATTGGTGGAAATTAGGTAGAACGGCCCCACGAAACACGCATCACAGCTAAATCTTTGTCTAAACCCTAATCTTAGAAGGATTCACCCTGACAAGAATTTCCGAGTCTCTTTTTATCATATTCCAGCTTCACCCCTTACTAGCTGTGTGACTTGGTAAAATCATTTTACCTCTCTGCACTTCAATTTCCACATCTGTAAATTGGGATCATAATTATCTACCTCAAGGTGCTACTGTGAAGATTAAATGTATTAATGTACATGTAAAGCACTTAGAAACCCCGCACAGAATCATTTTTAAGCAAACGTTAACTATACAATGTAAATGTTAATATAGTAACTGTAAGGCCAACTGGCCCGAGGCAGGGGAACGCAATCTGACTCACAGGTTGCATCAGACCGAAACTTTCCAGACCACCCAGTTCCAGGAACTGACCTGAGGACTTTCCACCCGGCCCAGCCTTCCCGCCTTTCGAGGGGCGGGACTAACGGTCCCAAGACTGATGCGACCGGCACCAGATATTGCCACGATACCCGAAAAGACCACCAAATAAGGGATACCCTGCGGCCTCCCGGATTCGCCACACCCCTTTCCCTTCTTCCCCTATAAATTCTGACCAAACCCTCGCCCGGGCGCGACTTCTCTGGCCCCTTTCTCTCGGGCCAGTGAGCCTCGCCCGGGAGCGGCCCCGAATACAGCTTGTTTAAGCTCTCCTCCGTTTCTTGGTGCCGTTCCTTACAGTGACAAATGTATTATTAGAATCACAAATTTTAACATAAACTCGGCGACTTGCATATAAAGCCAGCTGATTATCCTTACCCCACGTGGCCACGTTCCTGGCTCGGCGAACGTTGCTGCCCTTCTTGAGAGGATGTAGACAAGGCGGCCCCTCTAGTCAGAGGATCCCAGCTCAGCTGCTCTGGCGGCCTCTTACTGACTGCATTTCCCCATCGCAGCCTTCTTACTTGCTGTCTTATCATACAGAATAAGCCACAGTCAGGCTGTGTGACAGGGGAAATTTAGACCTATTTGCTCTCCCCAGCAATTATTTCTCGTAATGCCTCCCAACCACTACCTTCCGCTTTCAAAGAGTTGCCCCCCCGCCCCGCTTGATGCCTCTCTTTCCGTCAGTCCTCCACTGGCCTCCATGGTTCATCTCTATGGTTCAAACACAGCCATGTTACTCGGGGCAGAGAGACTTACTGAGGG